AGAGAGAGAGAGAGAGAGAGAGAGAGAGAGAGAGAGAGAGAGAATATCATTCTCTCACCAGATACACCAGAAGAGGGCATCAGATCCCATTACAAATGGTTGTGAGCCACTATGTGGTGGCTGGGAAGTGAACTCAGGACCTCTGGAAGAACAGTCAGTGCTCTTAACTGCTAAGCCATCTCTCCAGCCCCCAAGATTACTCTTTTTGTAAGAGAAAGGTGTGTGTGTGTATATGGCCAGATGTGGTGGCACTTGAGAAAATGAGGCAGGTGGATTTGTGGCCAGCCTAAGAGATATAATGAAACCCTGTCTAAAACTAAAAAAGAAAGGAAATTCATGGGAGGGGTAGCTATTTTTCTCATTTAAGAAATTCTTAAAATTCTCATTTAAGAAAAGGTGTGGCACACACCTTTAGTTCCAATACTCAGGAGGAAGAGACAGGTGGATCTCTGTGAGTTCCAGGACAGCCAGGGCTGCTGAGGAATCCTGCCTTGAGAAAGAAAAAAGAAATCTTTTGTGAGCTTAGTCTAGACTGGCAGAGGTGACCTAGGTGGATGTGTCAGAAGAAAGAGTACTGTATTTAGAATGTCTGTGTTTATTACAGCAAACATTGTGGGCAGCCTTGGTTATACTTTAAAAGAATGGTGGAAACTGGGAATGTGGTTATCTATCTGGCCACCAAATATATCATTTCAGCGTGCCATGCTGAAACATGAGCATCAGACTAAGACCGCATCACCCTGCCCAGTTCTTGTTCCTGTCAGAGAGAGAGTTGCCCATTTCAGGCTTCATTTGTTTGTTTGCCAGGGAGGAGTCAAACTCAGGGTTCTCTACATGCTAGTCCCAATATTTGACGTGAGAGAGAAAATAAAAACCCTTTTTTAGAACTCTGAAGATAGTAGTGAAGAACCAGAGTTCTGAGTGGCCTGTTCAGAAAATGACACAAATGTCACACTTTTTTTTTTCTTTTAACTGCTGAGATTAAAAGGTCAAGATCGTTCTTTAGTGATTTATTTTTTATTTTTATTATAGTGTATGATTGTTTGCCCACATGTCTACAGATGCCATGGAAGCAGAAGAAGAACTGTAGTTACAGATGGTTGAGCCACCATGTGGGTACTGGGAATTGAACTCAGATCCTTTGCAAAAGCACCCAGTGCTTTTAACCACTGAGCATCTCCCCAGCGCCAGAAGGTCAATAATTTGAAGAAGCTAGCAATGTTTGGCACATGCTTCTTTTTCCAGCATTCTGGAGACCGGGGTGGGAGGAGGCCTAGGTGGCCAGGATATGTGTGTGCGTACATTTGTGCACTCTCATGTGTTTAAAGTCCAAACTGTATTGTTAGTAACTCTGTGGGAATATGTGGCCTAATAGTTGATGGTGTTTTTATTTACAGGGAACATTCCCTCCTCTGTACTTGGGGTGTTTAGAAGCCATGCACAGTAACTTCAGTAGACAATAAAGACAGTTTTCAGATAATAGCCAGTCAAAGCAAAGAACAGCAGTCAGTTCATTACTCTTTGCAGTTTAAAGGATCTTACATTCTATCTTAGGGTTACAGATGGGGTCCTCTAGAAAGAAGCTGCCCCATAATATTTAGGTTTCATGTTTAACTGCAAATTCTAATATTAAGAAGACCCCCTCCCACTGTCCCTGAAATCATTAGCTGGTGTCCCTGCTGTCCAGCTGTGGGGAGTGAATGTGAGAAGCCAACCTCGTGGTGGGCAGTGGTGTGCTTGGAGCCAAAGCTTGCTGCTCTTGAGGGGCTGTAGCTCCTCTGCATACTTTTCCACTATGGGTACCTTTAAGAAGATTCTTCTGGCTGATGGTGGTGGTGGCGCACACCTTTAATCCCAGCACTTGGGGGGCAGAGGCAGGTGGATTACTGAGTTCGAGGCCAGAGCCTGGTCTACAGAGTGAGTTCCAGGACACCTAGAACTATACAGACAAACCCTGTTTTGAAAAAAACAAACAAACAAACAAAAAACAAAAAAAAGAAGATTCTTCTGAGCAAAAAATCCAAACTTTAGAACAGAAAGCCTCTGGTGGCTTTTGTGTGACTCCAGCCTGTCAGAGTGGCTTTCCTGCTTTCTGACTAGGAAACCTAAGATTGGCTTTGTAAAATCCCAGACTAAAATATATTCTTTTCTTCTCTGGCACAGAAACTTGCCTTCATGGTGTCTCTAGGGTTGGTAACACATGACCATCTAGAAGGTAAGAGAAGATTTTCAGAGCATGATCTTCTTTCTAGCTTTGTTCCTAAAAGTGATATTTGCTGAATTCCTAGAATAGAAAATTGGAGCACAAATAAAGTATGATTGAACCAGTGTGAATGAGATCTCCTATAGTGAAAGAATTGCCTCTGTCCATGTAACGTGTAGGCCCTTCTCTGTATCATTCACACTCTGGTCCTAGGAACCTTCCCAGATCCTGAACGAAGGTGACTCCTGGTCTTTGTCCCATAGCAGTAGCAAGTGCTCCTTTGACAAATCCTTGTCTGTGTCCTCCAGCATCTGGACATCAGGATCCCAAGGACAGTTAGAAATCAATGCCCTTATTATTTAATTCAGGAGTGGTGAGTTCTGGTTGGTAGTCTGTAGGTACAGCTCATGCAGACCTGTACACATAGCAGTCTAAAAATAAATAAGAATGGCTGTTTATAAGTGTGATCCATGGCATCACTCTCACTCACAGAATGGCACACTGGAGTGTGGCATGGCCTTCCCACTGAGAGGCATGAGTAGTGTGCTTGCTTCTGTTGAGGACATAGTGAAACACAGCCTTTCGCCTATTCATTATTGGTTTCAGGAAAGCCAGTACATTACATAGTGCATTTCTGTTCCTTAGCTTCTTCATTTCTATCTTCTAACCAAAGCCTTTTCTTTTCTCAAGAAATCCAAAGCAAGAGGCAGGAGCGAAAGAGAAGAACAACAGCAAATCCAGTGTACAGTGGGGCCGTCTTTGAGCCAGAGGTACTCCAGCCAGCACTGGCACTGACTTCACTTGTGCCTTGTTAGCCCCTCCCCCTGAAAGCCTGCTAAGAGCACTTCCATCTATACTCAGACTCTTCAGTTCTGTGAAGTGATGGGCCTCTCTGCTCACAGCTCCACTGTGTTTTGTCAGTCACTGTTCACCTCTTAAAGTTTTGGAGTTTGAGTGGATACAGTCCTACCTTACAGTTTTGATTCATCCTGAGTAAATACAATCCTACTTCAGTTTTAATTCATCCTGATTTGACTATGTTATCATGAAGCAGAGGTCCCTTTGGAATATTCTCTCAGAGCCAAGTACATACAATCAAACTCATTAGCGCTGAGACCTTTGGGTGATTGGCCTGACTGATTACCATGTGATAGGCATGTTTGCAGTGTTCGTGATGACCATGCTATTCAATAGTCACCTTTCCTTCTTAAATCTCCAAAGCGTAAGAAGAGTGCGGTCACTTACCTTAACAGCACAATGCATCCTGGGACGCGGAAGAGAGGTGAGTGTCTTTTAAAAACACCCTGTCTTGCTTTTGCCTTTGCTTTCTGCGTTGTGTTTCTTTTCCTTCTCCCTCCCTCTTTTCCATTGTCCTAGAACCTAGCTGCTCTATCCATTTAAAATAGTTTTTATTGTTTTCTGAGAACATGGAGGAAAAGAGAGATTTCTTGGCCCTCTGAACTCAGGGCTAAAGCTGACTTTCCAGGTCCTGGCTAAGCTGACTCAGGAGAATGGTGTAATGCAGCATTTCTGCCCCAAGCCTACCAGGCCATCCATGAATAGCTCAGTGAACAGAACATCGTGTGAAAGGAAGTGTTTAGCATCTTTAAGCAGCCTAGCATTGCTGTTGCCAAGGTGTTTTTCATACTGTTTCAGTCTTCCTGTTCCAGTGAGGGTAGAATAGGGCTGCTTTTCTGTGATCTGCAGACTTTCCAGGAAGAGAACTTAGAATCTTTTATCAGTGAGCTTCTCGAGCTAAGGACGAAAAATAAGCTGTTAAAATAGGCTCCCCCGTGCAGAGGTTCCTAACACATTGTCTCTTCTCTTCCTCCACACCTTCTCTAGGCAGAAAGAACAGCAGCAGCTCTTACCACACAGGTCTAAATAGGTCTTCATAGTTCAGGCTTAGACTCATAAACAAGATACTGAAATCATACTCTGATGTCAGTAATATATCCCAAGGTTCCTTTCTCCATGTGGTAATGTGTCCCTGAGTTACAGTTGCAGGCTGGAAAGGTTGCAGAGTAGGTGACTAGCATACTGATGTCTGTGCATGCACACAGACTCTCAGAGCCATTGGAGACTTCTGAGGTTACCCTGACCTTTGCCTTGGACAGAGCTACTGATGTGTAAGCCCAAGTAAAGCCATGTGTGAGCCTTTATCACTTCTGTTACAAGTAACCAGCCCATCTAGATGGAAACTTACTGCTTTTTACTGGTTCCTGGGCCATAGTCATAAGCTACTTTTTGGTTTTGTGTTCAGCTCTTTCTCTTAGTAATCACACAGTTCTCTGATAAGAGGGCCCCAGCCAGCAGCCTCAATTAATTGGTCTGCTGGGAGACAGTATCTGCTTAGAGAACAACAGTTAAATGAGCCAGAAAGATCAGAGGCTCAAGCCTGCATTCAAGTGCCTAGGATGTGCCCTGTATGGATAAGCAAAGAGGATTCATTGTTGGGTTTTCTTTTTTCCTTACAGCTCTTGGTTCTTTGGGGAAAAACTGGGCAAGTCTCTTTGTAACTTGGGCTCTGTCTGACCGACACAGGCAGTGCTACTGTGGTATCTGACCATCATGGTACCTATGCATGACCCTGACAGACTGTGATTGGTGGGAATGCCTTCACCAGTGCTTGTAGGCAAATCAGGCTTCACTGGCATTTCCTGGCTTTGGTCAGGGCTTGTATATAATCACTCAGAAGTTAGAAGCTATCACCCAACTCTCAGGAGACATGGACCTTGATTTAGGTGTGTGGTAAGAGTGACTGCCCTAGATGTCCTGTGACCCTGGGCTCTGCTTTTTTAGACTGTTTGCAAATTGCTTCCGATTGGGCCTTTGGGGAGGGGGGCAAAAAACCCTGCCCTCTCCTTAAACATGTAGTCCATGACTGTTGGTATTAAGGAGAGGCAGTTCCCAGACCACTGTAAGGGATGCCCAAGGCTTGGAGGCCTATGGATTCCCTGATACTCTTATACTCCAGCTGCTCCTAGAAACCCCCTCACAGTGGCTCTGACAGCAGAGGGCCAGAGTAATTGACTGGAATTCTGCCTTCTCACTTTGCCTTCCTCCACCCTACCAGCAGGAAGGTCTGAACTGTTAGCAAGAGACTCAGGAGAGCAGAAATGCTGAGTAAGTCCATTCACGAGAGCACAGGGTCGTTAGCACTGATGGCTACAGAAAACCCATGGTGACTAATGCAGAAAATACATAGAAGATAAGCTCTGTTCTAGCTTTGACCTTCTCCTGTTAGAAACCTCAGGTGTGGTAATCCAGGCATGACCATGATCTGCCCAAGATGGGTCTCCTTAGAGACACTGCACCTTAGCCATGCTTCAAGGCTCCCTTCTCCTCCTTTCTTTTAGTATTCATGTAGTTGTTTCTAATGACATTGACATCTTTGCTTCTTTTCCTTCCTCTGGCCTGTGTATTAACCTTCTGTCTGCTACCTCACTTCCCTTTCCATGCTAGCCAATGAGGAACACTGGCCAAAGGTATGTAAGATCATTTTCCCCCTGTCTTTCCCTCCCCCTTCTCCCCTTTTGTTCCTTTCTCTTGGTATATAGGTCGTCCTCCAAAATACAATGCAGTGCTGGGGTTTGGAGCCCTTACCCCAACATCCCCCCAATCCAGTCATCCCGACTCCCCTGAAAATGAAAAGACAGAGACCACATTCACTTTCCCTGCACCTGTTCAGCCTGTGTCTTTGCCCAGCCCCACCTCCACAGACGTAAGTAACTTGGGGACGTGCACTCTCTCCGAGAGCTCACATGGGAAAGCCATTGTCCTATGCTGTGTCCTCACTAGACTGATAGCCCTGGAGCAGCAGGAGACACTGCACAATGCCTGCATACCTTGCCAGGCAGCTTTCTTATGGGGTCACAGCTGTTCCATGTCCTTAAGAGTCATGTTCACATAAATCTGGGAAGCCCAGGGTTTCAGATTCTAGATTTGATCAACTATGAATGAGCTCTCAGAGCAGGATGGGGACATGGCCTGCAGTTGAGTGGTATCTGTCATTGGTGTGCTGGAAGGCAGATGCTTCCAGCAGCCCAGCTTCACAGTAGACACACTTCCAGAAGTGCACAAGGTCCTGTGTTGGTGGAACTACTCAGAAACAGATTCTAGCACTTACATGTTCTGCTGAGCAAGCTCATGAGGCTGGGGACACATCAAGGAACAGCCAAGCAATACAAGCATTCATGGGGCTTGTGTTCTGTAGGAAGAGGGAGGAGACAAGGGAACAGATGTGTAACCTGTCAGGCACAGATAAGCACAAGGAAGAGAAATGGAACAGAAAGCACAAGGAGCAGTGCTGGAAGGGAAGGCATCGTCCGTGAAGAGGGCGAGGGAAGGGACTTCTCAGCTATGTGTGGCAAGCTGTGACCAGAGAGGGGACAGGCTGCTCATCCAAGGCTTTTATTCTAAGTACAACAGGAGACCACCAGAGGGCTTTAGTGAAGGGATGAAATCATTCTCCAATTGCACATGATTTGTTTCACTGAAGACTCTGGCCCCTGTAGACAGGCTACAGAGTGATGCAGGGCACAGTACCACCTGTAGACAGGCTGCGCACAGTATCACCATTTGCTTTGATTGACTGCTTGTTGCTGCATTTGTTTCTTTGTGTGCTTGCATCCACCTGCACATGCAAATGTATGCATGCACATCTTTTTCTGAGTCAACTAAGAATATGGAGGCGCACACGTTTAATCCCAGAATTCAGGAGGCAGAGATAGGCAGATCTCAAGTCCAGCCTGATGTACAGAGTAAGTTCTAGGACAGGGCTACACAGAGAAACCTTGTCTCAAAAAATAAAAAATGAAAAAAAAAAAAGGAATCTTTACCTCTAAGAATAACAGTATTCTGTTGTGTAGCCACCATGTGGTTATATTATGGGAATTTAATATTGGAATTTAAATATAATATTTATTATTGGAATTTAATATTACATGCTACATCTTAGCATGTAATACTAAGTTCATATTCCAATGTCTCCATTTAACCCAGTAGTTGAATTTGTCTAAGATCACTCTAGACTTTTATTGTCCTGGTTGTATCATATAACTCTCCTTTATTCTGAAATGGTTTCTTGGGCCATCCTTTTTAAAATCACAGTTTGTTCATTTAGAACGTGCATATCTGTCTCTGTGTGCATCCTTGCCATGGCACATGTGTGGAGCTCAAAGGACAGCTTTTGGGAGTCAGCTCTCTCCTTCCACTATGGGGAATCTCAGGAGTCGAACTCAGCTGTCAGGCTTAATGACAAGTGTGTGCATCCACTGAGATGTCTCACTAGGACCTCTTGGGCCATTTTTGTTTTTTCTAATGGTGGTATCTTTTTCAGTGGCACAGTTACCCTGTTGAGTTTGCCCCACTAGACTGTGCTAGTTCCCTCCAGAGTAGACTGAAGCATAGGTTTTTGAAGAAGCCTGGAATCAGAGCTGACAGGCCCTTCTCAGTGTATCACAGCAGGAGGTGTGTGCTGTCAGCCTCTTGTTCACTTTCATCTCTTGAGATAACTTCCATTGATTTTTTTTTTTTTTAACTTGTGAAAGTCTGTTTTTACTCTGGCCAGAGGTGGCTTTGAGTCTGTTAGACTATTTCCCAGAGACTTTAGCCTCCTTTGTTGATTTCTGATGCTTATAGAACCATCTGAATTTTGAAAGGACCACTGTGTAGAAAGAGACCTTGGGAAGGATGGATTAAGCAGGGAGGCCAATAGGGAGGTTCAGACCAGGGATGATGACAGCTGGCTGGTCCTGATGGAGCAGTAGATGCAGGGATGGAGAACAGTGACCAGTTCTGTTTGTATTTTGAAGAGTTGGGTAGGATTGAATTGGGTAATGAAAAAAAAAAAAGAATTCTGAAGGATAAATATAAAGTTGATGACCTAAACAACCGACACTAATGTTTACGGAAGGTGACAAGAGGGTCAGGCTTGAAGCCACAAAGCAAGAGCTTCTGTGTCCGTGTCCTCACCCCTGAGGAACTGCAGAACTTGCTGTTAATGTCTTCCAATAAAGTTAACCTTTGAAGTTGTAAGTGCTCATGACTTACTAACGGCACAGCCCTCTCCATGAGAATGCCATTCGAATCCCTAAGTTAGAATTCTGGGGGCAGCAAACAAAATAGTATCTTTAGAGAAGTGGGGTCCCAGGAGAGTTCTGTTCCCAGCATTTCCTTCCTTGGACCTATCTGCTGCTCCAAACGCACCCTGATTCTAAAGACTTGGTGTTCCATCCATTCTTCCTAATCTTTGCCCTAGTAACTGATGCAGGTTTCAAACTGGCAGGCTAACAAGCACCAGGAGTCCCTGTCAGACACCATGTTTGCTAGTACTGAAGACTTTTCCAGCTTTTCCCCAGTCCAGTGTGGTCAGAGACGTCAGCAGGTCCCTGACCCCTGTGCAGTGCTGGGCAGTGCTGGGCAGTGCTGGGTCGGAGTTTTACTCACAAGTTATTACTTATGCCATATTACCCTTGTCTGCATTCTTTGATTGAGTTTATTTATTATTATTATTTTTTTTTTACAGACTAGACCTAAAAGGTCTGCTTCAGTCAAATCACAAACTAAAAGCTTTTGCCAGGTTTCATCTTAACACGTGAACATTGTTCTTTTCATAAATCTAAAGTCAAAGTATGCTTTTCTGAAACCACTAAAAATGTTCAGCACTTCCTAAGTTAAACCCAGTGGGATACATTTTTTTTTAAAGATAATTGACTTCCTACTTTCACAGTATCCCAACAGCAGCTGTGATTAAAATCAGCACACAGGGTTCTATGTGTTTGCTGCCGGGTAGCATAAGCCTCGACATTAATTAAACAATAACAGTTGTGAGCCAAGCATTTCCTGGGGATCAATAACCATCTAGAAGGGCTTGATAATACAGACCCAGCCAGACACTGATCCTCAGGACATACCTTGTAGCTGCCGTCATTTTTATGAGAAGGGAAGATTTGCTGACTAATAATAAATCCTCAGCATAGTATAGCTGGACTTGGTGGGGGCAGCATGTTCCCAGCAATGTCATGGTCAGGCACTTTTGGCTTCCTGTTTACTTATGACCTGTCGCCAGGGTTAGGCCTTTTGATCTCCACTCTTGAGGCAAAGACTGACCTTAATGGATGAACTGTTTCTGTATTTTATACTTATTCTGACATTCTCAGAATTTTGTATTTAAAGTATTAGGGTAAAGCAATTCTCAAAATGTGGTCTGGAGTCACTGGAACTTTTCAGGGGTGTGCAAACTAAAATTGTTTTTATAATAGTACTAACACATCCCGCATCATTTCTACACTCATTCTCAAGACTGGAGACACAACTTCCTATATGATGTCATGGCTATTTAATGTTGACTTGTGTTCTTGAGTTGTGTTTTATTTTCATTGTACTGTTACTATAACTTTCTATGATTCTGTAACTAACTCAGAGAGTTCTCAGTGATTTTTAGTACACAGAACTCCCAACACTCACACATGCTAGACACTACTGCTATAGTATGTGTAAATATGAAATTTGAAGGACGGAGCTGGAGAGATACATGCATATGTGCACATGCACACACATACAAAGGGGCCATTCCCATATGATTTCCTGTACTATTGGAAAGATGTATCCCCTCAGTGGTGTGGTGTGGGGAAGGGACTGGCGTCACTCTCTGGCTGCTGACTCTGTAGTCCTGTGGAAGGATGTCTAACAGAAGCTCCAGACAGCTTAGAGCAGCGTGCCAGCACTGACTTTTGAGGAGTCCTCCAGCTCGTCCTTCAGTCCCCTCCCCTGGCACCTTAACCCATGTGTCAGTCCTATCCAGACAATAGCTCGCACATCAACTGGATGGAGGAACACACTAATATAAGAACTCTTGATTTTCCCTTTATCCTCCAAATCTTAAATAGTTATACTTTCTTGTCATTTGATGGTGCCTCCTGTTCTGAGGCCCAGAAGGCTTTCCTGAGCACTGGAACCACCACAAAGGGTGCAGTAGAGTGGACTGGGGCAGCTTTCTCTGTTTAGTGAAATATTTTATGGGAAGAATAAAGCCTTCCACTGGATGTGAGCAGCAAATGCCAAATTCTGGTTCTTCAGAGCGTCGTCAGCTGTGGCTATGGCTCCTTCAGTCCCATGTTAGAAGTGTGTCTGTCAGTTCTCTTTGCTCCTGACTTGGACTTTTCCATTTGAACGTTTACTTGGGGAACATTTCCCCAAGTAAGCAAGAAGTTCAGTAAATAATTATTTCTTGCCTCTATTTCCAAATTCTTTTTAAACTGCCTCTAAAATGATAGATAATAAACTTTGCTCCTGTTAGTGAGAGACACTTGGGTCAGTGGATCAGTTCCTGATTGTATCTGATCTGTGAACTGGAATCTTGGTGTTGGAAATGCCAAACTGTTACCCAACCAGGTTGGCCCAGGCAACTGAAGATCTTTGCTGCAAACTCTAGTTTATAAGATTAAATGTTTACTCTAAATCTGAAGATGTAAAGGAAGTCCCTAATGTTAAATTGTCACCCCAGAGATTGAGCTTTGTGCCACTGGAAACTCCTGCTTTCCGTAACACTAAAGCTGGAGGGCCATCTCTGTGCCATCAGCTCACTTTCAAAACACTTACGTGCAACCACGGTGCAGAAGGTAGCTTTGAGTTTTCACCCTCTTTATCATTTTTCTTACCTTTCCTCTCCATCTCATAGGGTGATATCCATGAGGATTTTTGCAGTGTTTGCAGAAAGAGTGGCCAGTTGCTGATGTGTGACACGTGTTCCCGTGTGTATCATCTGGACTGCTTAGAGCCGCCCCTGAAAACAATTCCCAAGGGCATGTGGATCTGTCCCAGATGTCAGGACCAGGTACTGGGGGGTGGGGGTCACATGGGTGAGGGACCAAGAGGAAGAATGCTATGGAAACGCCTGTCCTTCCCATCCTGGGGAATAGGCTTCCCTTTTCTCTTGGTTGTTGTCCTCCTGGTTCGTGGCACAGCATGCAGGCACACGGCATAGCCTTTGTTCCCTCACAGGCTTCCTGATGCATGGATTGCTTTCTTCTTTGGGAAATGACTTATCTTCCCTGTTTGGTGGCATAAGCCTATAATCCCAGCACTTAAAGGGCTGAACCAAGACCTTAACAAATTCAAGACCAGTCTGAGCTACATAGTGAGATGTACACTCTCACGATGAGAAAACAAAACAAAAAATAAATTAAGATTCTTAAAAGCTTATTCTAAGCTGGGTCTGGTTGTGCATGCCTTTAGTCCCAGAAACCAGAAGGCTGAGATTGGTGGATCCAGGTGAAAGGCCAGCCTGGTCTACAGAATGAGTTCCTGTCAAGCAGGGCTACAAGGTGAGATGCTATATCAGAAAAAAGAAAACCTGATTTAAGATCATTTTTTAAACTTTTCCCTTTCTGTTCTTTTTGCAACACTGGGACCCAAACCAGAGCATTGTGCATGCTGCCTAAGCACTCAGGGCCTTGTGGGTGTGACTTACGTGTTCTACCACTGAGCTGCGTCTTAAGTCCATGGTGTGTTAAAACAAGTGCTCTCTCTGTAGCCCAGGCTGGCATTGAACATGGCATCTCCTGCCTTGGCTTCCTGGCCAACAGGTATGACCACACCTGACTTAGTCCTCATCCATGGACTCCAGTGTAGTCAGAGTGCCTTCTCCTGATCCTCTCTCACATGGTCCCCTGACAGTTGCCTACACGGAGGCTAGATTATATTTCCGTGTGTAGAACTATATTTAACATCCTTTGGGTGTTTTGGGAGGACATAACAAAACTGAATTTGAAACAGGTAACCCTTGTCAAATCAAAGGCAGAATTGCCCGAGGTGACTGCCAGCATGCTGGTGTCCAGCCTTGTGCTTCTGCTTCTAGCTGTAGAGAGTGGTTGAGTTGTGAGTCTTTCGTTTGCTTGGTTGAATGGATGTTTTGTTTTGTCTTTGTTTTGAGACAGGGTCTCACTGTGTAGCCCTGGCTGACCTAGAACTCTCTATGTAGATCAGGCTGCCCTCAGACTTAGAGCTCCACCTGCGTTTTCTGGGGTTAAAGGTGTGTTCCACCATGCCTAGCTCACATGGCCTTCTTTAATTTTTATTTTTATGTATTCATTTTATGTGTATCTCTGTGTTATCAGCTTGTATATCTATGCATGCCTGGTGTCCTGTGCCTTCAGAGGTTGTTGGATATCTGAGACTGGAGATACAGACAGTTGTGAACTGCCATGTCAGTGCCGGGATTTGAACCTGGTGCATCTGGAAGAATAACTAGTGCTCTTAACTCCTGAGCCATCTCTCCAGCCCCTCACGTGGCTTTGATACAGGAATGCTCCCAAGTCTCTGCTTTGTATAGTCCAGGATTTTGAGTGATACTTCTACAAGCCTCCTTGGATTTTGACTACAGATACAGACACTGGTGTTTGGTGTTATCTTGGGTCTCAAGGGAAAACTCTAACTTCTTTTCAGATGCTGAAGAAGGAAGAAGCAATTCCATGGCCTGGAACCTTAGCCATTGTTCATTCCTACATCGCCTACAAAGCAGGTAAGATCTGCCTTTTTGGGGAGGGCAGTGCTGGGTTTGCTTCTAAAAAATAAAAAATAAAAGTGTTTTATTGAATAAAGTAGAAAGTTTGTGAACCACCTTTTGAGGAGACTGTGAAGTGTGGTGCCCCCTATAAAGCCTGGCCTAAACCTCCAAGGCCAGTATATCCAAAAGGAAAAGTCTATGTAGTCAGGTTCTGTGTCCTTGGCTGTATGACAGCAAGGACTTTCAGGGCTGGTATCTTTGGTGAACAAAGCCGGGCAGGCTTTTCTAAAGAATTGATGGTTTAAATGTTACTTTTTTCCCCCTGCAGCAAAAGAAGAGGAAAAACAGAAGCTACTTAAGTGGAGTTCAGACTTAAAACAGGAGCGGGAACAACTGGAGCAGAAGGTGAAAGAGCTCAGCAGTTCCATAAGTGTAAGTCACTTCTCTTTCTAGACACACAGTACTGCATCCTTGACAGCTGGGTCCAGTCTTTCCTTGTATGAATGGGATCAACATCGGCAGCTGGACGTCTGCCTTCTGAGTTAGTATGCAACCTCAGGTGCCATGGCCGGGTGCTACTTGCCCAAGCTCTGAGTGCCCTTGTGGCTGCTGTCTGAGAGAGTTTTCAGTCTGCAGGGGAAGAGATGGAGTAGCAGCTGCACTGTTGCAGCACCACCCAGTGCCTGCACATTTTGAGAGGAGCCTCACTTGACCCTGAGAGCCACAGGCCCCCTGAGTGCTCTTTAGACACCTGATTTACTAGGCTGAAGGAAAGACTTCCAGCTGGCAGCCAACCTAGAGGGTCTGGCTCACCGACTGGAGTCTTCAACATTGGGCTATCTCAGGTCTCCTAAACGTAACTGGCCCAACTCACAGAGATCCAGCTGCCTCTGCCTCCCAAGTGCTGGACTTAAAGGCGCACGCCACCACGCCTGCTGTCACCTGTGAGCATAGCAGATGCAAGCTTTAGGGTAGCTTTCATGGCGACTTTCACGTCACAGCATTGTAGGTGCTAACATCCAGTAGAGTTGGCTTTTACCCTACCATTGGCCCCATCTCTTGCCTCTTGTGTCTTCCTCCTTTGGTAGTATCTGTCCACACCAGGTGTAATAGCACAACTTGTAGAGGTTTCATGCCAGTGCCCAGAGACTGGTTTATGGGTTTATTTTTCTCCGGGCCTGCTGAGTCCCGGAGGCTGAGTGCCTGCCCTTATCATTTCCTGCAGAAATGCATGGAGATGAAGAACGCCATCCTGGCACGGCAGAAGGAGATGCGCAGCTCCCTGGACAAGGTGAAACAGCTTATCCGCCTCATCCACGGCATCGACCTCTCCAAACCTGTAGACTCTGAGGCCACTGTGGGGGCCCTCTCCAATGGCCCAGACTGCACCCCCCCTGCCAACGCCACCTCCACACCCGCCCCTTCCCCCTCCTCGCAGAGCTGTACAGCGAACTGTAACCAGGGGGAAGAGACTAAATAACAGAGCCCTCGAAGAGATGCCACAGTCCTGGTGGCGAGGAGACTCTAGAAGAGCAAAGCCGGATTTCTTCTGGAAAGTACAGAGTTCTTTTGGTTCTTTGGTTCCAGAGAGAGAGAAGATGCTTGTGCCAGGTGGCACCCGAGTTTGCCAATTGATTCTTGTTCTTCTGTGTGTACATGCAGAGACTGGACCACGTTACATGAAGTAGTGCCAGCTGGAGGTTCTTAGCCAGCGCCATGCCAAGTGACATACTATATTACTCTCTCTATTATACACCAGTGTGTGCCTGCAGCAGCCTCCACAGCCACGGTGGGTTCGTTTTGTTTTGTTGGGTGGGGAGCAGGGATGGGCAGAGGGAGGAGAGCAGGTTTCAGATCCTTACTGGGAGCCGTTTGTTTAGGTAGAAAAGACAAGTCCAAAGAGTGTGTGGGCTTTCCTGTTCCTAAACGTTTCACTACCATAAAACCAAAAAATGAAAAAAAAAGAAGAAAAAAAGAAAAAAAAGGAAATAGAGATTTAACTAACCCAGTGCCCAGAAGAGGGACGGGAAGGGCTGGGAGGGGCAAGGGTGGGAAAGTATATGACATAAGCAGTATTTAACTCCTGGAGGGGCCTAGTGCAAGAGGAGAGCCCGGCCCCTCTCCAGCTCGCCCCGCCCACAGCCTCCTGCAGCCCCTCCCCCCTGCTTGGTGTAGTGCACAGCCCAGGTGGTTCCCACCTTGCTAAGCAGGGAAGGGAGGGTTCAGTGAGAGTGGTAAGGAGGGAGAAAGGCAGATCAGAGGTTTTACTTGAAAACAAGCTCCACCCCTTTTCTATATTTATAAGAAGAGAAGGTTCTGAGCAGAGAGCACGACCCAGGTGTGTGTGAATGGAGACGACCCTTTTCTCTTCTTCAAGTTTATTTTTGTTTCTGTTCTTGTTTTGTTTAAAGAAAGTTTTGTTTTGTTGTTTATTTTACCTTTTTTTTTTTTGTAACAAGAACTAAAATAAAGAATAGAAAGGCTGTTTTTTCAGGCTGACGGTCCTGTTGAGGGTAGCGAGACCTTGCATGATAGAGTAGGCGTCATAGTGTCAAGTGAGGTCGGTGAGTCTGTGTGCGTTCTGTGTCATCAGTCAGGCACTGTTCTGGTTTGTTTCATTTTTTTATTTTCTGGTTTTGTTTTCTGGTTCTGATTTTTTTGTTTTTTCATGCAAGGGCAAAAAAAAAAAATCTTTGTACCTGGGGAAAACAACAACTTTTTTTTTTTAATTAAAAAGGAAAATAAAAGATATTGAGGTCTTCCTAGTGTTACTTAAATTAAGATCAAGGTAAGAAACATTGTAAAAATTACAAAAGTGCTATTTGTTTCCTAAAAACAGTGATTTCTATTAAAAAAGGTGTCAGAACTGGAGAAAATGCCGTGTAGTTACAGTTTTTTAGCACAGAGCCTGCTGATCCTGATGGCATTGTGTTGTGTCTCTAGACTGGTGCACCAGTCTGCTGAAGGGCCAGGTCCTCCCACCTCCTCCCTCCTCAGACTTGCTGTCTCCTTGGCACAGGGACCTCATCGCCTGTGTTTGAAGCCAAAACGGAATGAGCATAGTGTCAGTGCATCCCCACAGTCTCAGGCCTTGCTAGAAGGCAGGCTGGTGCCCACCCAGACCTTCCCTTGGTGCTGCTCTGTCTTACAGCCACCAGCATTACTTACGCCTTGGGGGCCCCTTGGGGACTGACCGGTAAGGCTCCTCACTGCCTGTATACTTGGCCTCCGGGAGGGTAAAAGGTGCAGGCTGGCTGCATGGGGGAAGATGCCTCGAGGGTCCATATGTCTCTGAGAGCCCAGGTGGCCTTCAAGTCCATCTTTCTTTGAAGAGAGAGGGCTGAAGCTCTAGCAGGCCTCTGTCTGCTAGCCCCAAGGTCAGAGTTCACTCCCATTCCACTCACATGCTTCCTGGGTGTTCCTGGGCCAGAATCACTATGCTTGCCCTGTATGGTCTATGGTAGACTTTTCTTCTTGGAAAAATGGGGTTCTGAAAGGCTCTCTACTCATCTCTCCAACAATACCATAGCGAAAGTAACTCTATGAGATGCATGTTCCCACTGGAAACCTTTATCTGTTACATGTCCTTGAGTGAAGGGACAGAGGCCTAGGTAGGCTCTGCCCCCAGGTCTGAAAGCAGCATCTCTCTGGAGCCCACTAGGCTCCCAAGTTTAGGAGTAGGAGGAAAGACCCCTTTGCTTCTTCCTTGCCCAGTTAGGTCCAGGGAAAAAGAGCTGGATCCTGACAGAAACTAGAACAGACAAGAGGTGCTTGTGAGAGCGAGCAGGGTCCATTCACACCAGCCACCCATTCCTCTTCCCAGCGTTTGAGAAAAGAGTCTCAGCTTCAGGCCTCTGGCTTTGGGTTGACTGAGGGGAGCGGAGAAGAGCCGTGTTTTCTTATTTAGGCTCTAAGGTGCTGTCTAGTTAGCGGGTGTTGGAGACGCCTGGACTAGTTAGAGGGATCTTTGGCAGAGGATCAGAGACCAGCAGCAGGCTGATATCCTGTCTCGGCTCCCCTAACCTGCCAACCCCCTGTTGGACTTGTCTGGGCCCATAGGCTGGGGCTTGGCACACAATGCCTACCTGAGACGGGAAGAGGTTGACAAGCCATCAACAATCACTACAGGCCTTTGCTCCAGAAGAGCTGCTGGTGACAGCGCAGGACCAGAGCAGCATAGACTCCCATCCTCTGATGTTTGGAAAAGAGCTGCTTTGAGTCAACTGGAGTGAAGTAAAAAATGTAGCCCTGCCCCAAGTCTCCGCTGTGGGCCCTGTCCCTTCTGTCTACCTGCCCCTATCTCCATCAGCGCAGAGCTCCTTTCTGTCCCCTTAGACCTGTGAGTATCTGTGACCACCTAGGACATACACACATGCTGCCCCCAAGCCTTCATCTTCCCTACCACGTGTTGCTCTTACGACCACCTGTGTCAGGCTCACTAGCATGGAAGTCACTTTGGAAGGCCTTGGACTGGGAGTCCCCTTGTCCCCAGGATCAGGCTGGCAGATGTAGGCTGTAGAGGTCAGCGCCATCGCCTTTCTCTCCTGAAGGCTCCTCTTTCTTTCTGAGCCTGTCTTGTCTGCCTCGGCTAAGCTCGACCAGTTCTCATTTTCCCTTGCTTATCTGGCTTTGAGAGGTAAGCCTGCTGATGGTACCCTTCCGGAAAGACTCAGAAGCAGTCTCTGAATGGCTTTACCTGGGTGAGGCCTGCCTCTACAGCCAGTGACAACCACCAGGCAGCCTCCAGCTGGCCCCCATCTTAGTGACTGACATCTTAGGGCCACCTCTCCTGCTGCCGCTTCCTGCCTCATGCTCATCAGACAGTGTTAAGGGTACACGTGTACCCAGCACTGCCCGAGTGACTGTGTTTCCAGCTGTCTGTCTGCTCCTACAGCTGCCTCTCTGCCACCTCTCTGATGCTTCTGATGCTTCCTCTTAGGGCTGTTGGAGCCTTCTTGACTCTCACCACCAGCCCCCTCCCTCAGCTCACAATTTAAAAGGTCTCTTCCCTTCAGGCCTTTCTTTGGTATGGACCTTACCTAACTAAAGGGCTGAACTCTTGAGGACACTCCTCCCAGGGGCAGGAGTAGGATGGACCAGTGACCCTTTCCTGGACACTGGGTTCTACAGACTCCATGGCTTCTGGTGAATGCAGGCTACTTTGTTCTGTGTGAATGACTGTGGACCTTGTCCCACCCCTCATCCCAGCACCCTTGGCAGAAAATAGGAGTATCATTTCTCATCCTGCCTTCAGCTGGTGCTCCTGGTCAGCTCCTCCCCAAGAAGGAAATGGGTCACCCCCAGGGAAGATTCCACTGGTCCTCTCCAGGGAACGAAGAGTCCCACATGGCAGCCTTGGTCCCTGCACCCACCCCTCTCCAGTGCTCTTGCTCTTAGCCCAGGGTGAGCTGCAGTCAGGTGAGTGGGCTGAGCAGACCGGAAGTCAGTGAGCATCACGCATAGAGCCAGCCAGACCCAGTCCTGTCTGCGTCCATGCCCTTTGTGATTTCAGTCTTGGTAGAATTTGTATTTGGAGTTTTGTGCTTCAGAGTTTCTGTTTTGTTCGTTTGGTTTTTGTTTTGAGAGGGTGGGGGTACAGAGCAGCCGATCAATTTGTATTTATTTATTTTAACATTTTACTAAATAAAGCCAAATAAAGCCTCTCAGCCTCTTGGTGTTGAGTTTGGGGCTGGGGTGGGAAAGTGTGCACAAGAGTCTCCATCTTGCCCGGCAGTGGTGGCGCACACCTTTAATCCCAGCACTTGGGAGGCAGAGGCAGGCAGATTTCTGAGTTCGAGGCCAGCCAGGTCTACAGAGTGAGTTCCAGGACAGCCAGGGCTACACAGAGAAACCCTGTCTCGAAAAAACTTAAAAAAAAAAAGAGTCTCCATCTCTAGCCTGTGGCCCTTGAGGGGTCAAACTGTCCTGGAACTCTAACCGGGGTCTACTACCAGTGCCCAGTGATGCCCTCAGACCCTAAAGGTCCCCTGTGATTCTCCAGCCAGAGCACAAAAGCAAGACAAAACAAAAACGTGCTTTTTAAAACTTTATTGTGGGGCTAGAGCAATGACTCGGGAGAAATGCGGACCTGGGTTGGTCCCCAGCACTTACATGGTGGCTCACAATCACCTGTAACTCCACTTCCAGGGGATCTAATGTCCTCTCGCCACACACATAACAGGCACAACACTCACACATAAGACTAAAAAAATTTTTTAAAAAAATTTATTATGTAAGAGAATAAGAACTAGCCCCAAACCAGCTGAGGCAAAGGAGGGCTGGAGCCTAGTGTGGAACAGCAACAGAAGGAACCAGGACCCCCACAGATGCTCCACTCTAGCCCTTCTGACAAAAACTTTAAATAATTTAAATAGCAACAAGGGTGGGCACCCACCAGGGTTCTCCAGTTTCTGCAGGGAATGTGTGTGTAAGCCCTATCCAGGGGCAGCCTGGCAAGCTCAGGCCCGGCTTCGGGACAGCTGCAGGGCAGTGAGGTATTTCAGGGCTGCAGACCCATAGCGCCTTGACAAGTCCTGGTGGAACTCCTCCTTGAGGGCCTGGAGACAGTCACGGTAGGTGGGGCTGGAGCGGAAGCGGGAGATGTCCAGACTTGGAGCGTGGGGCAAGTGGATAGAGAAGGCCTCAGGAAGTACTAGGAATTCATATTCCTGTAAGAACAGGGACAGAAGCCAGGGCTGTACTGGGGAGACACAAGTAGGGCCGAAATGGAAGCTTGCACCATGACCCACTAGGAAGGGGCAGACCACAGCCGGGGCAATAAGGTGCCCTCCTTACCTGAGCGTCCAGCTCTATGATGTGGGCCACCTTGTTCCAGCCAAATCCCACAAAGCGAGGATCATAGCGGGGGCAGTCACGGGGTACCACCACATAGGGCTCATAGTCAGCTGACCACTGCACACGGTAAGGTGCCTGGGCTTCCCGCCAGCGGGAATAGTCTGTGGATGCATGACCCTGTGGCCACTCATGGTACCTGTGTAACAGGATGAGGTGAGAGCAGGGTGTAGGGGGTTGTGAGCTAAGGGGCCCCAGCATGGGGATAGCAGGGCAGAACATGGCCTCTCTTACCTAAAGGTATGGAGGGAGCCAGCGTCCAGTAAGGTCAACAGCTCTGCCTTAGAGTTCGGGAAGCTGAAACGGTAGTGCAGGGTCTCAAACGCAGGCACCACCAAAGCAGCCTTCCGCCGGCTGCCCAGATCTAGCTGCTCAATAGAAGCCCTGGGGAGAGGCACGTGGGCATTCAGCCCAGGGGTCTTACCCCTGCTGAGCCGCAGCCCCACCTTCCAGGTAGCCAACTCTCCTGTCTCAGGTAGCCTTGCCACACAGAAACTGCTGTTTGAAATAGGGCATTACCTCCATGACTCAGTAGCAGCCCAAAGGAAAGGCTCAAGATAAGCCTCATTTTGTGAAAGCCACTGAGCCCCAAAAGAAACAGCAACCTGTTCCCACAGGTGTGACACAGCAACCTAGGGTTCCCAAAATATCCTGACCATCACAGCATATACCCCAAATGCTGTCCCTCTCCCATCCTCCAGGCCCACCTGAGGTAGTCATACAGGGAGTAGGCAGGTAAGAAGTCAATATCACTGAGGAAGACGTAGGGTGTGAGAGCTTGGGCCAAGGCCACATTGCGGAGCTGGTTGACAGGATAGAGGGGACCGTCCCGGTATACTACATGGTAGGCCACATCCTTCCTTGCAGAGAGCACTGGCGACATTTCCACGAAATGCAGGAATTGCTGAGCCTCTGCATCTGTCAGGTACAAGGCCAGGCTCATGGGGCCTGACCAGTGCCTGCACAGGGCTTCCAGCATCTGCAGCCTGGAATGAGGCGGGTAGTCAGCCCTACTCGGGCTGTG